GCCAAATGATCGCTACAAAACCGCATTCAAGACGCGGTACGGGCATTTTGAGTGGGTGGTCATGCCTTTTGGCCTCACCAACGCCCCGGCGACATTCCAGGCAGCAATGACCAATGTGTTCCGTGCAATGTTGGACCGGTTCGTGCTGGTCTACTTAGACGATATTCTCGTCTACAGTCGGACATTGGAGGATCATCTTGGACATCTTCGACGAGTGTTCGAGACGCTCCACCGTGCCAAGTACAAGGCCAACCGCGACAAGTGCGAATTTGTCCGACAAGAGTTGGAATACTTGGGCCATTTTGTCACACCAGAGGGCATCAGTCCGCTATCAGACAAGATTCAGGCCGTCCAAGAGTGGCCGGRGCCTCAGAACGTCACGGATGTCCGCTCGTTCCTCGGTCTTACCGGCTACTATCAGCGCTTCATCAAAGGCTACTCCAAGATCGCGGCCCACTTGAACAAACTTCAGTGCGAGGATCAGCCGTTTGACTTTGGAGAGGAGGCGCGGGGATCATTCCTCGCTCTCAAAGCCGTCTACGGAGGTCTTGCGGATATACGACCCGCTCGCGCCTACACGTGGCACTACGGATGCGTCAGGCTATGGCATTGGTGCAGTCCTCGAGCAACATGATGGTGTGGACTGGCACCCATGCGAGTACTTCAGCAAGAAAGTGCCACTCGTGCATTCCATTGACGATGCACGCAAGAAGGAGCTCCTCGCCTTCGTCAACGCGCTCAAGCGGTGGCAGCACTTCCTCCTTGGTCGAAGCCAATTTCGCTGGGTAACGGACAACAATCCGTTGGTCTTCTATAAGACCCAAGACACCGTCAACAGCACCATCGCTCGATGGATGGCTTTCATCGACCAGTTCGACTTCTTCCCCGATCACATTCCCGGGAAGTCGAACCGTTTTGCGGATGCTCTTTCACGACGTCCGGATCATTGTACCGCGGTCTACTCGACTTTCGAGATTGACGATGACCTGCGGAACAACTTCATCCGCGGTTACCAAGCCGACCCCGAGTTTCGCGACAAGTACGCGAATTGCTCCTCGCCTAATCCGGCTCCTTCTCACTACTGGATCCAGGAGGGGTACTTGCTTGTCCACACGTGGGGGAAGGACCTTCTTTGCGTACCAAGTGATCCTCACTTGCGTACACGACTTCTTGGCGAGTTCCACGACGCTCCCACCACCGGACATTTTGGAGTCAATCGCACGATTGGCCGACTTCGCCAGCGATTTTGGTGGTCCGGCCTTCTCGGCGACGTCACACGCTATTGCGAGTCATGCGAGGTTTGCCGACGCTGCAAATCCCGCAACTATCGTCCGTACGGCGAGCTACGACCATTGCCAGTCCCGTTGAGGCGAAGGGAAGCGATTGCCATGGACATCACCGGCCCGTTCCCCAAGCACAAGACCGGAGTGGATGGGATTCTCACAGTGGTCGACCGACTCACCAAGTTCGCCATGTTTTTGCCTTGTCGCTATCATGCCAAGGCACCGGAGTTGGTCGAGGTTTTGTACGCCAGTTGGATTCGCACCAAGGGTTACCCCAAGGAGATCGTCTGTGACCGCGACACTCGGTTCATGTCCGATTTTTGGTTGGCGCTCATCAAGCGATGGGGCTCATCTCTGAAGCCCAGTTCAGCTCGCCACCCTCGGACCGATGGCTAGACGGAGAGGGCGCATCAGACCGCACAGGTTCTCCTTCGCACTCTCATCCGCCCCGACCAGAAAGACTGGGTTGAGCGACTGTTGGACGTTGAGTTGGCCTACAACTCTTCTATCCACCCGGCTATTGGGATATCCCCCTTCGAGTTCGAGCAAGGCTCGCCGGTCACGTCACCGTTGGACACGATTACTCCACGCACGGCCGAGAGCGACGACCATCTTCTTTTCTTACGTCGGATGCAAAAACTTTTTGTCAAGGCACGCGACCAGATGGCTAAGACGCAACAGCGCATGCGCCAACAGGCAAATCGCCAGCGTCTTCCTTGTCCATTCCGCGCCGGAGACCTCGTCTGGGTTTCAGCAGCGGAATTCAGCCTTGAACAAGACGTCTCTCGCAAGCTCCTCCCGAAATGGATGGGGCCTTGGCCGATCATAGAGCCCACTGGGGACGCACCCGAAGGACCCTCCTTCACAATTCAGGTGCCTAGCCACTTGCCTGTCTACCCAGTCTTTCATTGCTCCAAACTGGCTCTCTACACGCTAGTGGATCATGACGACTTTCCCGGGAGACGGACGCAAGACCCACCTTCTATGGATGGTTTTCAGGAGGTCGGCGACATCATCTCCCAGCGACGCTTTGGCAACAAGCCAACTGAGTATTTGGTGCATTTTGCCTACTGCACACATCGAGCTGACCGTTGGTTAACCCGTGCGGAACTCCAAGCGACAACTCCAGACGTTCTCGCACGCTACGAACGCAAGATGCAGGGCAAGCCGGTTTCTTCGGCTCCACGCCGTGCCCGCGTCCAGGTTCCACCTTCAGATCGACGGCTTCGCCCTCGCCCCGGCTTGACTCCATAAGGAGGGGGGGGTGTTACATGCAGCGCGTGCACACACGGGCCATTTTGCAAGCCCGACGGCCATTTTGCAGGCCCGACAGCGTTCAGGCCAAAAGCCTGAACTTCAGGCCGAAAGCCTGAATTTCAGGCTGAAAGCCTGAAATCCAGGGCTTACAGGCCCCCTGTCGGTTCAGGCCAAAAGCTTGAAGTCTAGGGCCTATCCCTGGTCGTTTCAGACTAAAAATGGCAACAACCTTTTAAGCCTGAAACGAAGGGCCATTTTCGGTCGTTCATGAGAACGACCGGCCCTGAAACTCAGGCACCGAACCAGGGTTTCGGAAACAGACTATTATTAGTCTGTTTCCCACGCCAGCCTCAAGCAGGCTGCTGCACGCCAGCCCCTGGCACATTTCGGCATTGGCAAGAGCTACCTCCTCGGCCTGACTGCCCTCCAGTAGTCAGGAGGCAGGCCGAGGTAGTACATAGGACTTCCCAGGCACTTCCAAGGTAGGCAGTTGGTAGTTGTAGTCTTCAGGATTCGCGGGCAGCACTCTGGAAGGAGCGCTGCGTTGTAGTAGTGGTAGTGTTAGCTAGTAGTCTTCAGCGCTGGGCGCAGTAGGTAGCTGTAGTCTCCAGTGCTGGGCGCCATAGCTAGGTAGTACTAGAGAGAGAGAGAGAGAGAGCTTGGGCGGAGGCCAGAGATACCTACCTGCAGCGCCGTTGCTCCAACTTCGTCTTCGAGGTACCTGCAGCACAGCGCCAACATCACAGGTTAGTACTTGGTTCGTAACAGAGAGAGAGAGAGAGAGTTTTTCTTTTTCTTCTTCTCAGTCCACCATCTCTTCTCTCCCTCCCACTTCTGACTTCACTGCATCTGCAGACTATGAGAGAAGAGATATAGAGCTTGGTGACATTGTATCCAGACTCGACTTTCGAGGGTTCAGACATAGCAACGAGGGACTATTTGGGACTGGTGACCAAGACTTGGTGTTAACGACATTCCCATCTTCTTCCCTCCTTTCGTCTGATCCCTATCTCTTCGTCTGTGTATGTCTGGACCTGGTGCTTTCTTCCTGTGTGTAGCGCCAGGCTCCTTCACACTTCGTGATGGATACAATGCATGTTTAGTCTGAGTTCAAACATTGATTGGGCTAGTTAGAGGTAATCTAGCATTCTGCTTCGTTACTCTGAACTACGTGAATGAGGTCAGTCCTGTCCGGTCAGTCTTGTATCAAAGTCTTCCCTGCGCTCTTGAGTATCTTCATGTATGAATGAGAATGTACATTGCTTGTCGAGATTCTACTCGTACCGCATTGTCTATTCAGTCCTTTTCATCACATTGCAGATTCTCCGTTTATTACGTACATTGCATATCTGTGCATGTAACACCAGCTCATTCAGGAGCGGGGATTGACTTTCTGACTCCACAGGGCCCCAGAGGGAAGAAACCTGTTCAGGCTGTGAAGGGGCATCCCTAAGACCACCTGCACTTTTTTTTTTTTTTTTGGGGATAATTTTGTGAAATACCCCTATAAGTTGAGATATATGCCAAAATGCCCCTGAAAGATGTGGGTAGAGCGGAATGCCCTTTTGGGCCTAACTCTTTCCTTTTCGCCCTGTCAGGTCCATGTGCAAGTTTGCAATCTGGACCGCGTCATTAGGGCCTGGGCCTGCAGCCTGTTTTACCCGGTTTGCCCTCCATACCGGGTGGTCAACTTTGTGCAATACCCAGACCCATCGGCGGGGCAGTTTGCTTCCATGTTCGGCAGCTTCATTCATCCTCTCCCTGGTGAGGTTCCCTATCTCCAGCTCCTCCTATGCCACATCACCATCCCTAGAATCCTCCTGCTCGACACTCTGAGAACTCTCTCTCTCTCTCTCTCTCTCTCTCTCTCTCTCTCTCTCTCTCTCTCTCTCTCTCTCTCTCTCTC